GGGTTGAACAAAGTTCCGCCCCTTTTCTCCTGCTTCCAAGGGGGTTTCAGTAATTCTAAATGAAGAAAATTTAGACTTTTTTGACAGCTTTCCAGGCTTTAGCTTACAAAGTTTTTGCTTTAGTCTATATACAAAAAGCGGAAGGTTCAAAACAGGAAGTCTGACCTTCCCGCTTCGTTACCAAATTAAGAAATTTCTTGATCCAATTTTCCGTTTCTACTCACGGGTACTTGTTTTAAATCCAATTGTCCACAGGAAAAAGTCAGCGCTCTCCGGCAATGGCTGTGCGGCTTCACTCCGTGAAAGTAGCAGTCAGTTCGCAGCACCGCGCTTCTCACCCCACTTCACTCCGGAGCCCCTAAATGGGATTCCCTGCGAGTAGGGGGGCGCTCCTGGTGCCCTGCCGAACCCCACGTTCCCAGGCTTCCTCCGCCTGGGATTTCTAGCGGGTCCCCACCTTCGCCGTGGCGGGAAGACCCAGTTTCCATGGAGCCCGTTCCTCCGGATGGAGGAACTCCGCCATTCACCGATGGCGCTGACCCGGAAGTCCAAAAAATAATAATTTATGCAGACATTATATAAACTAAAAGTCTGAAGAGTAGTTCTCCCCCTACCACTCTCAGGATAGCTATCACACTTTTGTGTCAAGCTAAAATCATTTTTGTCAGTCATAGGCTATGGTATCTTAGGCCTGTCATCATATGCTGTCTTTGCATGATAGATTGTGATTGCTGCAAACAGTTGTCTTGCATATGGTAATGAGACATAAAGAGACAGCCCAAACAAGATTGAGTTTAAATTTTAAATTCATTAAACGTCCACTCAATCAAAACTCTCTTTTACAGAGCAGCAACTAGCCACCACATGACCAGAGGGCAATGAGTGACTATAGAAGCAACTGTTAGAGCCAACAACAAAAAGCACCCCTTCCATCTTGCTCAATAGCACCCCGTGCTGCTCACTTGCTCATTCCAGTTTTATTTTATTTTATTTTATTTATTTTATTTTATGCTGCCCATCTGACTGGTTGCCTCAGCCACACTGGGTGGCTTCCAACAAAGTATTAAAACACAAAAACCTCAAACATTAAAAAGTCTCCCTGTCCAGGGCTGCCTTCAGACAGCAGCGGAGGAAGCCGCTCGGGTGCCTGGGGTAGCATGCGCAGGGGTGAGCCGCCCATAGGGGCAGGGTGCACCGTGGGGCCTCTGGAGTCTGCCTGCCTCCTCCCACTCAGCCGAATTCCTGATCTATGATTTCAGTCATTGGATTTTTGTCTTTCACATGACGGTATAAGTTTTGACTTCACAGAGTGGGAAGTGACGGAGACAGGATGTTTGTGTTACTGTGTTCCGGGACTATTGTCCTTTGTTCTTTTTCTCTTTGCTGTCTGATGCTAGAGAGAGAGGGAGCCATGTTGCAGTGCTGCGTGTGTGTTTATATGTAAATATAGTAGATTAGCCCAAATGCTGAATTGCTGAGGTCTGTTACGCAGCTGCGCAAACTCTGCGGATCCCTAAGTGTGCCAGTGTCGGTTGGCATTGGTCTCTGTGATGTTCGGGCTGAAGAAAGCTTTTGAAGCTCCTGAACGATCGACCAGGATGGAGAGAACATGCCAGTCGGGCATGTGTCTCTGCCAGGGTTCTACTTGAGTGTAGGCTGAACTCCTGACAGGTAGCAGGCAGACTGTTTGGGCAGAACGGAGCCTGCATACGCCCAAGCCACCAAGTCTCTCCCCGGAGAGACATGTGGCTCGGGCGTGCTGCAGGCCCCATGGTGAGTGCCGCCCGGCATTTTGTCACCCCCCTCAGTGGTGACACCCAGGGTGGACTGCACCCACTGCACCTCCCTTCCTCCACCCCTGCCTTCAGAAGAAGTGAGATACATATTTTATCTCCTTGATATATGATAGGTGGGTGCTTCACAGGGTGGGTGTGACTACCAAGAAGGCCCTTTGCTTCATTCCCTGTAACCTCACATCTAGCAGATAGACCTCAGTGTCTAGGCTGAACGATGTGGGGGAGACACTCCTTCAGGTATACAGGGCCAAAGCTGTTTAGGGCTTTAAAGGTCAGCACCAAAACTTCCAATTGCACTGTACTGGCCTCTGTAGAATGTTAGAATCCGTCCACTGTGGGTATGTTGAATGGCATGCTTATATGTCCACATATATGTCCCTCTTCTTTCCTGATTCAGAACTTGGGTCATTTGTAGACCTATAGAAAACTGCATGATGGTTTTTAAATGGCAGGTATGCTGGAATGACTATTGCTAATGTAGAAAGGAAAGGAAATTACCACCTGAAACACTGTACAAACTACAGTTGTGACTAGGATAGTTGGTGTGAGCTGCAACTGTTCTGGATGGCTTAAAGAGTATGATTAATTTGCCATTTAGCAGAGGTACTTTAATATAATTAGAGTTACAGATAACCCTTAGTCCAACTCTATTATCATGCTTTAAAACAGGGAACACAGATAATATATTGCCATCAATGGACGCTCAACTATTAGAAGCAAAGCTTGTCGGTAATAAATTTTGATAATATGTCTAAACTCTTACAGCCATTTATTTCTGCAAAATGCATTTGTAAACATAATGTGGGCCATAATTAACCATTTTAATCATTCACCATCACTTCAAAAACTAGAACAACAAAAAGAAACACAATAGGGGCCCAATTTTAAGCTTCAATTCATATACATAGTTAGGTGTGGAACCTATTAGTCATGGAAGTGAACTGAATTTTATCTCAACTTGCCCTTGCAAAAATGTTCATAAACAGGGCATTGCTTATGGAGAGAAGTAGCTATTTCATATCCTATCACTTTATAAATGAAATATAATAATTTGTCGCAAGAAATAACAAAAAAGGCATATTGATTTAACGAATACTGCCCGAGCATTTGCTTCCAGGCTTATGAGGAAACTTATATCATAGTTGCTAGTGTATTGTGAGGTTTCTTAACAGTGTTGGTATTGAAAATCTTGACAATGACGCAAAATGTGCAGGGCTGCATTATGAGTTCAATGTACTGGACTTGAAACTGTCCCCCGCCCCATGCATTGGGGAGATGTGTAGTGAAGATGAAACAGACAGAAAAGTAGCAATAGGGTGGCTTTCAAGACGCAGATACTTATCTTGGCTTTACTGTACATATTGCACTTATGTAACCAACTCCATCAGACACATCCATAGTGGAAAGCTGTGTGATCTGCTGTTGATATTTTCATGACAAAGAGACTTTGCACTACGTATATCGTGTAGTGGCGATGAAGTCTGTGTAGGGCACATGTGCTGGCAAAAGCACTGAATTGGCCTCACTAAAATGTTTGCACTGCACCAGAATTACTGCTTCCTCGCCTTCTTTGTTCCAGGATGCAGCAGAAACTCAGCTGGAGGGAGATCAGGTAAGCAGCAGTGGTGGCACAGTCCCAATGCACCATCCAATACCATTATCATGATACAAGTGGACACATACCTAAGGGGTCTTACTCTAAATCTTTGTACTTCATACAGGAGCTGGAAGGCCTGCGTGTTTAGACCAAACCATATAGTATAAGAGTGTGTACCAGCCACAATATTTGATTTGTATCTTGCCTTTGGGGAGTAACTTCATCTGTTTCAAAGCTTTTGGAGAGAAGTGGGACAATTTGCACTCTTACCCCAGACATCCAAGGCACTTTCAATGTAGAAGCTAAAAACTTGCTTATTTTACAACTGACTCCATTTCCCGGTCTTTCCCTCTTTTATGACAACAATTTTTTTCTGGCAGTAATTGTGCACATCCAGTCATCATCAACAACAACAAACACCTACCAGTAACACCTTCCTCAATCATGAAATTCAAGTGGAAGGAAGCGAATGTGAGAAACAAGTAAAACTCAACTCTGGGACAGCAAGGGACATAAATGAAATTGTGAAGTGTATCAGAAAAATGTAAATGAAGCACATATGATTGAATTCAGCTAAGTATTGGTACGATTAATCTACAGTGAATACTTTGAGTAATGCAGGTTCAGTATGCTTCCCGACCCACCCCCCTCCTGTGCTGGAAATTGATATTAGATATCATTCTAACACACTATTGTAATTTTGAGACAAGCATGCAGTTTCCTGTAGGGCAGGAAGGATTTCTCCCAACACATGCACAATTTGAGACTGCTGAATGGAATGGAAATTGGAATAGAATGGTTGATAGGTTCTGCTTATATCACAGGCCTGCTGCATAGCTGTATTTGAGAATATATATATAGGCAGGCTCAGGGCATATTGGTTAATGGCCTTGGGGTTGCTTGCTTCCTTTTTCTGTCCCTGCAATGCATGACTTTGCTTGCTTTCTCGAATTCACTGGGGTTATTTGATCAAACTGGCATATGCTGTGCTATACTTGCTCTATGCTACTGAAAAATATTGGATGGGATTATTAGGTTTGATCTGGGAGCTGGTGATTACATCAGCTAGATAGAAATCAGCTAAGCCTGTCTATTTCCAGATTCTTCTAGGTCCATTTTTTTCTGTTCAGTAGGTCCACCACTGGTAAGAAGATGCATCAAGGGAAATGCATTACTGTGTGTGGTCTCTGAAGAATGAAGGAGGCATTGTAAATAGATGGCACTTTGTGCCATCATGTACAGTTAAGCACAGTTAATGCTGCTAACCCTTGAACTGGAAATTCACAAGCAGCCCCAAAAGCAACCGAGCTTGCTGGCTTTCTTGTTCAAAGTTCCTTCATGACACTGCCTGTATTTCCTGAGCCTATAGGCAATGACTGACTTGTTCCGGATTATTATTATTTTTTTAAAGCGTGATTAATAGCAGTGAAAGCTAACTGCAGCAACTTAGCAAGATGTGAGCTTGCTAGAAACAAACATATTGGGCAGGGGAAGCAGAGAGGCGAGAACACTGTGACAACACTACAAAATATTTTTTAAAGGGAGACAGTACAAGAGAGAGAGGAGAGGAGGGAGGGAATCGAAACAGGAGATCAAGAGCTCGGAGCTTGGAGGTAAATCAAAGCTTTATAATGCAGGATAAATGCTGAAGAGGTTTTCAGGGAGAGGGAAGTGTTGCTGCTGGAGCACATGATCTACTGTAGCCCTTTGCACTTTTATATTCAGATTATTGCTCGCAGCAAGTTCTGATGGCTTCTGAGCTTTTCCTTTTGTCTCTGGGATGATTATAAAGACAGATATTCCCTCTAGGTGTTCTCTTGCTCTCTGCCTCACTGTTTCCCTCCTGCACTTGCTGCTGTTCTTCCTGCCTCTCTCATTATTTGCTGAGGCTTTCAAGTGCTCCACGACAGGATCCTCAGAACAAAAGGCCGTCATTACATTTATCCCTATTTATCCTCCTCCAATTTAGAATGAATGTGGGTCTCCTACTGAAATTGGCAGCATGAAGATTCATCTTGGTTGTCGCCTTCACCCTTCCTTTGCTTCAGTCACTTTGAATGCTGCCGCAGTTTCATCCGTTAGATTTATCAGCAACCTAATCAACCAGTAACTATCTAGGATAAAATACAAATATGTTTCTGTTATGTTTCTGCCAACAAACCTAAGGCATGTTAGAGCTAGAAAAACACACGCAGGGAGACCTGTTGCTTATTACTTTCAAATCCCTGTCATGGATGCAATGGCAAATTAGGCATCTGTCTCTGAAGATAAGGATGGGGAGGAATTATACATGGGTTCTTTGCTGGTGTTTGGTTTGTGGCTCCCTTTCATCTTGTATTGCTTTCAGAAGTCACACCTTACATTGGCAGCTACCTGTACCTTTAACTAATGTAAGTAACAAATTTATTCTAGTTGCTACCAAATTTTGAGGTAAATTCGAAGAACCCTGGTCAAATTAAACATTTGAGGAAAGTAAAAAAAGTGATTTTGATAAGACTACTGATTTTTTCCCCCCAGAGTATCTGCACATTCCTGATAACTTTTTGGAGATAACACTTGAATGTGTGCACAAATTACCGAACACTATACTGGGCAATCCAGGAGGAAGCAGGTATTTCAGTGCTCCTGCAAAAGGTTGAAAGCTGCTAATCATCAGTACTAATCAGTCACCCATTCTGGTTCTACAAAGCAAAGGTCAATAGATTTTACACACATACACACACACACACACACAGAGAGAGAGAGAGAGAGAGAGAGAGAGAGAATGTGCACAGCATTAAAAGTGTAGACTAATAATGAACTAAATAAAACATTGGGGAAAGGGTTAAAAAAACAACTTATCACATGTGATTCCAATTTTCATGCAAGATCATTTGGACCAGAATGATAGCTTCCGATGAGAAATTCAGTAGTGGTTACACATTCCTACTCCCCGCCCCACTCCCATGCAAGCTCTGTTCAAAAACAGTTGTTATCAATGCAGGAACTATCCTGTGTTTACGATGTTTCCTAAAACTGAAAGCATGACACCCATTCTCTCATCAGTTCTTATCACTTGATTTGTTAGCTTCCTTTGACTTTCAGTAATAGAAGCAGGGAGACGATGCTGTCCAAAGAGAACAGTGTCTCACAGTGTATCCAGTATGGAGCAGCTGGAAGAGGAGGAAAGGGCAGAGAGTGAAGAAAGAGCTGTGGGGGGGGGGGGCTCTTGCAAGCTTTTGGACCCTTGGGAAACACAACAAACCTGATGCCCCTGAAACTGGGTGTGGAGAGAGCAGCTGAATGGGACACAGCTCTGGACAGCCTGAGGAAGTACCATCCACCTTGGGCCTGCCCATAAAAAGGAAGTCTAGTGTGAGAGACTAGGATGTCCACTGTTTCTAGGAATTCCTCTCATTGTGAGACTTTTATGGGTGAGCTAAAAATTCCATGGGACATTTCCTTTCTTCTTCTTTCCAACCCTCTAAATATCTCCCCAATCTGCCCCAGAGGAAGGAATGGAATTTTACTCACACAAAACTGGATTCCACCTTGTATTTCCCTCCATTTTAAATGAAGCTTAAAATGAAATGATAGTTATATGATGAATGAATCTTTGAAATAAAGTCTACAAATTGCTAAAATCTAATACAGAGCAGGAGTCACAGAAGGCCCATAGCTCAATTGTCGAGAGCGTGCTCTGCAATGCCAAATACTTAGGGATTGATGGATCTGTCAATTTTGGTTTATATCCATTTCTTGTTTAACCAGTCTTAAATTCAGATTGTCCCATTTTTACATCAATTTGCATAGGGTTTTTTTAAATCTTGCATTGTTTTTACTTTGTTTCCCACAATATATGTTCTTTTTAATGCAGTTTTAAGGGTGAAGAAATGTATTATAAAATTTGGAGAAGTGAGAAGGAAAAGACAAAAAAAAAATGAGTAAATCAGTGGAGCACAAAATCTGGAAGAATGATCTTTCCAATGTATTCTGATGTTCTCTTTCATTTCAGTCATGCCTTCTTGACATCACTATCCATATTTTTATTTTTACACGAACATGACCATTGTGAATAATCATTGTGATTAATCAAAAACTAGAATAGTTGTTTTATGATGCCATATGATTCCTACATTGATATATTCTCAGTAATGTCTCCTCTATATTGTCCTAAACATTAGGAAGAACTTCCTGACAGTAAGAGCTGTTCAACAGTGGAATTTGCTGCCAAGGAGTGTGGTGGAGTCTCCTTCTTTGGAGGTCTTTAGGCAGAGGCTTGACAGCCATATATAAGGAGTGCTCTGATGGTGTTTCCTGCTTGGCAGGGGGTTGGACTCGATGGCCCTTGTGGTCTCTTCCAACTCTATGATTCTATGATTCTATGATTTATCCTTGTGAGTTGCATTCTTTTATATCCTGCCTTCCAAAAGGGAAGGTTAAACCCAGACAGAAGCGGTATATTTCCATAGTTGGCACACACATTTACGAATAACACACTAAATTGTTGGCACACACAACTACAAAGGGCACACTAAATATAATATCACTATAATTCTTACGTAGTGTTTTTATGTTGCAGTTCAATGTGATCAAACAAATTTTAGCATGACATGGTGGTGAGGAAAATGGATTTTAAAAAAATGTGAAACATTGACAAAATATGACGTTAAGCAATTTTAAACCATCATTGACTATAGTAAACACAATGTACTATTTTTCTTTTTCTTTTTCACTGACTAATGTTAAGCTCGTGGTCTATTAAGACTCCTAGATCCTTTTCACATCCCTTTCCTCAAAGGAGATGACTGATCTCATTGCAGTGTGCTTAACACATTTCCTGATCCCCTTGAAAAAGGGTCTGGTGTCTGGTTCAGAGTTAGAAATGTTGCTCATGCTCATCAACTTTCATTCCAATATTTGAGGCTTTAAAGTAGGCATCACATTGCAGTGTATTTCATACAGGCAGGCAGACATTTTATTTGTAAGCTGCCTTTCCATAGTCAAAACCATGTCAAGGCGGCTTATAACACGAAAAAAATTACATAATTACAAATATAATAAAAATAGCCATAACCAATAAATAAAACACATCAAAATGTATACACCTAAATCAACAATTTCCATATTAAATCATAATAAGATCTAAAAATAAAGATACAAAAAATAATATCAATAGCAGCAACAAAGCCTGCCAACGAAACCACTAAGCAACACCCCAGGCCCAAGAGTCTGTTCAACTCCCTCAGCTTTTGTAGCTGGAATTAGTCAGGGCCCTCCCATCCAAGGTCAGGTGGAAAAGATATGCAAGGCAGGGAACAGGTCTTCCGGGACTTACAACCAACATTTCCCCCTTTCCTCCTTCCTTTGAAAAGATTCAGCAGTCACAAGGACTTGAAATTTGTTTGGTCACCAACATATTACAATTGTCATTTGGGGTTGGCGTTTTTAAATGCTCATTGAATATAGCTGTTAGGCATACCTGAAATATAACATCAGAAATATATTGGGGAGACTACTTTTTTTGTTTGTTGTACTGCTGCCAAACTTATTTGGTGGTCATATTGACTATCTCAAATTGTTCAAGAGTTGCCAAGGTTTTGTCATTCAAAGTATTGTTGTATATAATGATATGACACAAACACCGCCCTCAGCTAACTAAGGTAAAAATAGAACTCTATAAATGAATTGAAAATCAGAACTCCATTCCCAGGGAGACCCTTCTAGGACTTTCTCTGTTAGCCTTTTATGGTGCACTGAAGACTTGATTGATTGATTAATTTGCCTTTGTCCTACCGGAGTGAATATTGCTTTTGAATATGGGTTTCAGTTGGCCTCTCCTTGATTCTGCTTTTGTTTCTATCTGCTCATGTTTTTGCTCTATCACTTGTTTTAATTTGGAATTTCTCTCTTTGTGTAATTATTTGCATATTGCTTCTATTTTTCTTAATCAGCTTCAAGACCAGTACCTGGAAAGGCAGGATATACATTTAATAAGAAAGTGAGGTACATGATTTGTCAAAGGGGCATGATATTAGACACTTTGACTTCTTTTCCACAGTGGCCCTCCAGTGAAAATACTACATTGTAAATGAACTGGACTATTTTTCACAAGTAGAAAACATTAGTGGATGAATAATGGAAACAGGAAATAAAATAACCACAATTCCATTCCAGATTCAAAACCATGTTTATCTACTGTTGCAAAAACAGCTAAGTCTCTTGTGGTACCTTAAAAAGGGACAAACTTCTGTTGGAGTGAGATTTTTTGAGTAAGATATTACTCCATTAGATTCAGTTCCCAATGAAATACATCATCTGCAGATTTTTGTAAAAAGGTGATTTAGCATCATCATTTTCTTAAGATATTCTTCAAAGAGCTTTGTTCTGTTACCACAATTATATATGACAGTTTTATTAAATTATATATTTCTTGAAAAGATATATTCCATAATTGAGCATGAACTTTTAAATATTTATGGCACAGCGCTAGTTCAATGGGGATATATAAGGACAGAGTTGATCTCTCTACTTATTCCAAGAATGTTACCAGTTTGAAATCAAATGCTGCCTTAAAAAAAGTCAAACCAATGCTCTATCTAGTACACTAAAAAAAAAAGCCCACAGGTTATGCACATTTAACTTGTGAACATTCAGTTTTACACATGTGGCAAAAATAAAATAAAAATTAAAAGGGGATGGAAAGGAAGTGCGGTTTCAAGAAAAATGATGTTGGCAATCCCACCTGCCATTGAACCCAATGGGTTTTGACTATACACAGTTTTAGCTTTAGGCACAATCCGTGGAACAAAACCCTCACGTAAGTTGCAGGCTTATTGTACCAATTAATTCTTGAAGGTCTTGTGAGGAAATCTTTCTCCACCTGCTACTTTATATCCTTTAGTTGGAGATGTCAGGGAGTGAACCCAGAGCAAATATATATGTGCATTAAAAAGCACATACATATCCATTTGATCCCACTGAAATTTGAAAACAAAAATAAAACCATAACAAAGATGTAATGGGACTATTTTCTGATGGTTGCCACACACACTAAAAAAAAACCTCTTACATATTCCATTCTTCAGGTTTAGTTTTTGTTGTAATTAGATTGGTTGTAGGTAGGTAGCTGGCCAACTTTGCCTAACACGTTTATTGGCTGTTGCCTGGAATTTTTTAAAAAGTCAGCAATCCAAGGATGCACAAATTGACTGGACTCATCACAAAATCATAGAACTGTAGAGTTGGAAGAAACCATGAAGATTGTCTAGTCCAATGCAGGAATCTTTTACTCAACATGGGGCTCAAACTCACAACCCTGAGATGCTCTACTGATTAAGCTATCCCTCAGCACTGGAATCATTTGTAAGAGTAATGAATGTTCAAACCATAACTTGTGTAAAAGATTGGTCTTTTCTTTTCTTTTTTAATCCTCTCATGAGCCAAAACCATAGACTCACTGATGATTAAAATGAAGGTGGCATGACCTCATCAGAAAACATTCTATCTGCCATGAAATGTGTGGCATTCCCTTTGGGTCAAGAAAATCTTTACACTAATATCATATATCCAACATCTTACCTAAATGCTAAAAACACTAAGGGCCATAAGAATATAATTTACCCGCATTCTGAACTCTACTCAGCAGTTAAACCTATGACCTATTTATGACAAAGACTATTCTAGTGGCAGTAACAGATGCCATTTTGTGGCTGTGGAGAAGAGGTCAAATCTATAAGCTACTTAAGTCCATCTCTATATATTGATTCTTTCAGGGCATACCCTACTTCCCATCTATTGAACGTCCCCAGATTGGGCAATGTGTCACTTAAAAATTGTTCTCTGAAACAGGAGTTAGACAGTTGCAAAAAGAATCATTCTCCATCCCTCACAGGCCACACACAGAAATAATTCAGAAGTAATCCATATGATCTCTGTTCCCACTGAAAGGTTCAGAAAAGGGCAACCACAATGATTAAGGGGATAAAGCAACTCCCAATGAGGAAAGGTTATGACATTTGGGGCTCTTTAGTTTAGAGAAAAGGCAAATAAGAGGAGACATGATAGAGAAGTATAAAATTATGCATGGTGTGCAGGAAGTGGGCAGAGAAAAGTTTGTATCCTCTTATAACACTAGAACTCAGGGACATTCAATGGAAGACTTAGAACAGACAAAAGAAAGCACTTCTTCATACTGCACTTAGTTAAAGTGTCAAAATAAATAAATTAATTAAAAAAAATGTCCAGTAGCACCTTAGAGACCACCTAAGTTTGTTCTGAGTATAAGCTTTTGTGTGCATGCACACTTCTTCAGATTAGTTAAACTGTGGAGCTCTCTCTGACAGGAGGCAGCGATGGCCACCAAATTGGATGGCTTCCAAAGAAGATTAGAGGCAATGAGGCGCTATCCATAGCGACTAGGCACAATGGCTTTGTTTTACCTCCACTTTCAGTCAATATACCTCTGAATTCCAGTTGCTGTTTTGTTTTTTGTTTTTTAATTTTCTAATCATTTTATTCAACCACAAAAAACACATACAAGAAAAACCACAATAACAACACAATTTAACATTTCAGATTTGAGTACTGATATACCTATGACTACACCTTTTTAACAATATTTCCCCACCTCTCTTCCCCCTATTTCCCTCCACTGTCCGCCTTATCGCTTAAATATTCCTTCCAGATTTCTTCATATTTATCCATTCTTAATTTGCGACGACGTGCAATTTGTTTGTATGAAGCTAGTCTGTCCATATTATCAATCCATGTGCTCAATGGAATCTCTTCCAATTCATCAAAACAAGGTTTTTTTTGCTTCTAATATGGCATGGTACATCCAATTTGTTTGACCTCTTGTAATCTCGTGGGGACACAGCTGTTGTGCTTGTGAGTTTCCCATAGAAGTCTGACTGGCCTCTATGAGAACTGGATGCTGGACTAGATGGGCCTTTGGTCTGATCCATCAGGCTCTTAGTTCTTCCTGGGAGCTGAGCCCTTTTGGCCCCCTGAATATTTTTGGGGTGTGGGCCACGTCCCCCAGTGTCCAAAAAGTATTGTTCTCTTGCCACAGAGGGGAAGGAAGGTCAAAGCAGCCTCCTGCCAGTGGCGGTGCCAGGAGGAGGTGGAGGAGGGCAAACATCTTCAGTTCAAACAGGCCACAAATTTACAGATTAGAGATATAAGAAGGCTTTGGTATACAGTGGAGAGGGGACGTATTTGTTCCCCAGCTAAATTTCTGGACTGGTCATTAATTCATTAGAGGGCAAACGGGCAAATTTAGCAGGGGATCAAATACTCCCCCCCCCTCACTGTAGGCATTGGTTATATATCCTAAATCATCCAGCCTGACTTCTGGTTGCTTATTTTGCAGGGTTGATCCTGGGTTAAGGATCTTCCTATGATGTACATCAAATAGGAGCACTCCCTCCAACACCACCATTCTGGGAACCTTTAATGGGGTACCTCCAATTCCCAGAAGCAGGTGTGGGTGGGCTCCCAACTCCCCTGCTTCCACCTAGACTAAGGATCTAACCCAATGCCTTATATGCCAACAAGTTGTGACAATTGCTTTGAGGTAGGCAAAACCCTCAGAGAGGCCCAATTTCTCTGCAGGCAAATTCATCCTTGCCCCTGAATACAGCGACCAAATATCCCCATAGCAAGATCTTAGGTAGGGCATCCTCTCTCACCTCCAAGTAGGACCATATGCTACATAGAGTGGGAGGTGGAGAATCCAGCTCCAACTGAGCTGATGAGTGCCCAGTGAGTGGACCTGAGTGAAGACTAGGGGCTGAAGTCTTCACTCAGGTCTACCACTCAAGCCACACCCCCATGCTTGCACACGATTGGTCCATTCAAATGCAGTTTCATGAGATGGGGATGCTTGCTTCCCATTCATCTGTTTTGGGCACACAATACTCCCCACAGCCTTGTAGATTACACAACAGACACACAACCATTCCTTATGTTAAATCATCATATGTGTAGGCCTAATCATGTGGATATTTTCATCTTAGTATCAGCAGTCCGCATGGAAGGGATTTGCTAGTATGAAATGATCCAGGTGATCCACACAATGCTGATGTCCCTTACATTACTGATGTGCGATGGGAGCCAGGTATGGGGGATCAGTTCTAACCAAATTATATAATATAACCTTTTCTTAAGATTATTATTATTATTCTCTTGCTAATTATGCATTTATATGTGCATTTTATATCCAACTTCCTTTACTAATGTTTTCTTTTGAAAGGTTAAGTTTTTTTTGTTAATTTTGCTGTATTGTGTTCATTCTGCACTTGACCTCCTTTGTAATGTTTTATTTTGAAATCTTTAAGATAATATGCTAGTCTCCTGTTAATTATGTTGCTTTGAATGCATACTTTATATCTGACTTTCTTCTGTAATGCTTTATTCTACATTGTACTATTTTATGCTTTAATGGAAGTTGTAAATGACTTTGAGATTTTTTTCTGTAAAATATAAAACAATATAGAAATGAAATGAAAAAATAATAATAGTAATCCCGTCTATGCCAGAAAAATATCAAAGTAAATAGATTTTAGATGTGGCCATTAATAGTCCTCCACCTTCTGACTTTGTTCCAATATCAACATGTCCTATACAGCATCAGGGTGTATCACTGTATGCAGTTGTGACATTTTCATTGATATCAGTATTATCTGGATTCTACCCTTCTCTAATTCAGCAAATATAGATTAAAGTGAAGCTGATTTTGAAGTTCTATTTGGGGACTTCTGGAAGTATTCTAACTTTGACTAATTGGACAACTCTGCAGAGACATTTATTGATAAGAGTGTCTACTAGAAATTACATATCTGGAGAAGGAAAAGGCAGTGGAAAGGATTCATGCACCTTACTAATTGACAAAAAAATTAGATGGTTCCTGTCTCATTCTGTTTGAGAAGGCATGCTACCCAACTGCACCCATTCCTTGGAAATGCTTAAGAGGAATATGGTGGTGGGCAGGTTCGCTGTGGGGTTTTCCATATCTCCTATGCATGTAGATGCAAGGAAATAATTATCACCACTGCCCAGCTCCTCCTCCTACTACTACTAATTTTATTATCTGCCCCACCCACACTGGGAGGTTTCCAACACATATAAAAACATAATAAAACATTACACATTAAAAAGCTTCCCTTATGGGGCTGCCTTCAGATGTTAATCTGCCTTCAGATAAAGTTCACCTAGTTATTAATCTCCTTGATATCTGATGGGAGGGTGTTCCACAGGGTGGGTGCCACTGCCAAGAAGGCCCTCTCCCTGGTTCCCTGTAGCTTCACTTCTCGCAGTGAGGGAACCGCCAGAAGGCCCTCGGTGCTGGATCTCAGTGTCCGGGCTAAACCATGGGGGTAAAGAAGCTCCTTCCGATATACAAGGCTAAGGGCCTCTCTGGCTTTGGATAGCAAAGGAACAGCAGTCATCTTGATTTTGTTTACCCCAACACAAACTCATTTTAACATAAGGAAGGATTTTTGCAACTATCCCATTCAGTATTTAAAAGGATTATAGGAAGCAGCCTGATAGTGAGTAAGACCATCTATCCTGAATGGCAGTGGATTTCCAGGGTTTCAGAGAGGTGACTTTATGAATCTTGGAGATGGCAGGGATTGAACCTGGGAACTCCGCATTCAACACAGATGTTCTACCATAGAGCTACAGTCATCCCCCATGGTTTAATTCATGCTTTGTGGTTTCAAGAGCCTTTGATACTGTATCCATTTCAATATAGTTCCTTTGCTAAGCATAGTAAATAACCTTTTGAGACATCAAGGTGAATAAAACATGAGCTTTCATATGAAAAAGTACCAGATACAATCGTAGAATCAAAGAAAGCAAGATAGCCATGATTCCAGTCTGTCTGAGTACAATTTCCAACCAGTACTTTGGCAGACACCATAGATGCCAGCCATATGTTTCGAATCATCTACTTTTTATCACATGTCAGATGTGCAGTGTAATGTTACTAGTCAGTGAAATACAACGTGGATTGGAGTCACAGAAAAACAAGCACGGTAGTAACATGTACATTTAGATCTGACAGCTGCTATCCATTGGGGGAACAAGCATCTTTTTGTCATAAAATGAAAAAGCAAGGAACAGAATTTCAGGAAAATTGACCTAATATTATTGCCAGTGGCCTCCAGTTTACCACCTTTCAATTTTAAACTTTGGCCTTCAAAAGATTTCGGGCAGAAGACTTTACAATTCATGGTATGTGTGTGTGAAGGTGTGTGTGTTCTTAACACAAAACAACCCATTGCTGACAAAATGTCAATAAAGGAAAATGTTTTAGAATAAAGCTGTGTACACACCATACCTTTAAATAATCCTGGAAAGTGTAGTTTCTTAAAGAGTGCTGGGAATTGTAGCTCTGTAAGGGGTAAACTACAGTTTCCAGATTTTTTGGGAAGAGACATGATTTGAATCTGCTATAAAGGTATTTCATTCTTTTTTAAGTGCCTTTGCTTTCTTAAGCACATTCATTTTATCCTTTGCCTAGGGGGTACATGACATTTAGGAAATTTGGGGCAACAATAACAAGTGACATAATGGAAATATCATACCAAACTTAAAGAAAGGTACGAGGACGGGGGGGAAACTTGATACGGCACAAGCTACAACTCTCTCACTGAAAGATCTGCACCACATTGGAAGAGTCCATGATCCCATGCCTTCCCAACTTTTGAGTAATATGACAATGCTACTATGGGAAGGAGTTACAATTTAGTGTTCACTTCAATCCAGGTACTGTCATTTGAAAGGATTCTTGATTCATGTGGGTTTCTTTCTATGAGGCAAAGAGGTTACACCTTGAAGCCACGGCGCTTTGGAAATATTAAAAGCAGATGGCAGGTTTCAAAGCAGTTCAGATCGCAAAGTGAGATGAAAAAGCTTGAGAGCACAGCTTTGAAATGAAGTGATATTAGCTTGGGGTCTTATGAGCAAACAGCTTAATATAGTGATCTCAATCATCTCCCCCCACCTGCAATCTCAGGGGAGATAACTTGATAAATTGATGCATTACAATATTTTACACATCATTTTCCAGGTCAGCTTAGGAAGACGGACGCCCTTTCTCTAAGAAAACCCATGAACACACGTACACAAACAGAACAGGCAGACAGAAGGATAAAGGAAACAGGGGCGCCGGGAGAGAAAGAGATGGGGGGGGGGAACCTTTCTGAAGTTATTGGTGATGCTTATCTAAAAATGAAACCTGCAGCTTCTGAAAACATCTGCACTTGCACATTATGATTGCTACAGTGACAGATACTGCAATAAACTAGTATTAAAAAAAGAAATTATGTCTTCCTTCTGAGATTCTAAAACTATTTTTAAAGTCTCTGGAAACAGAAGGCACTGAAGCATTTGAATAAACAGCACATCTTTTTAATGTTTCTTCTGGATGAAATTCTGAGAAAAGCATGATGATTGACTGCTAGAGCTGGAAAGAGAAAGGGATCGTATTTTGACCAGAGCTTATCACAAGGAAATGGATGTGGCACGAGCTTTGAACTCATTATCTGAACACTCAGATGTGTTTTAATACTGTGTTGTGTTTTCTTTTTCTATGCTAAGTGATTAGAATTGCACCAAGTAACACTCAGAATGATGCCAAAAGCCAATTAACAGTGCAAGCCCTATTCATAAATATGGGATTTATTGCCAGGTAAGCAGGTTTGGGATTGCAATCTAAAAATTGTTAGAGAAATAGGCTTAAAGTTAAGGTCTTAACAATGGTTATTGTTCAGTGTAGGTAGTAATGTTGCTGTTTTGCTATCAAGGGAGTATCTAGCACAGGAATATAAAAATTTCTTCGTACAGTATTCAGGGTACTTTTATAGAAAATATCTATAGAAATTATTTTCGGTAGACTTCTCCAGAATTATCTTCTCTAGATATTTCTTTGTTTCCCCAGCTCTTTTAGCAGACCTTGCAGCTAGGGTGAATTAGACTGGAATAATTGCTTACATTTCTGGAGTTCAAAGGCTTTATTCAGGTAGGAACTATTTACAGGATGAGTAGAGATGAGAAAGAAAAAAAATAGCAGACATCTCATCTCAACAGATCGGCAGAGAACAACAAACAAAATGACTTTAGTTTTAGGGGTGGAGTTAACCCCTTTTCTCCCTACTTTTCTTCCCCACTCAGCAGGCTGCTAAAGGAAGGCCAGATCTGAACCCCACTTTCTTCCAATACTCCCTCAGTTTGGCCCCCTGCTGCTGATTTTCACCTACTTTCCTTCTCTCCTTCACACCTGCATGAATTTAGGCTGAAGACTGCATGCTGCCTTTGCGCTACAGATTCCCCACCCCTGATCTAGATGCAACTACACCAACAAGTGCATGTCTAAAGGAGGTTTAATATGACTATTTATCACTGGTTTCACAGAGTGCTTTTTTAAGAATAAAAGGTGCTTGTACTCACTATGAAGTTGTTAGAGTAAGTGCCATTTGGGGAAAAGGTTTGGTACTGTGTACCCTTGAGTACCACCATAAAATAGTAATGTTTTTTTACATAATATGAATAACTGTGTATTATTTATCTGCTGCTACTGCAAACTGTGGCATTTCGAGATAGTATGGTCTGCATGCAGGTTCACAATTTGTGATTGAAGACAGTGACGGAATGCTCTTTTCACACAGAAACGTTTCCCTGTATGTAAAAAAATAAGATGTCAGGAAGTATGGTTCTAGCCTAGCATTATACCTACAGGCTAGCTTTCAGTGTGTAAGAATGGCTGCTTCTTTTTCCATGGAAGAAGGTTGCATCCTATGAGTCCTCAGTTGTAGCCTGAAGTGGCAGATTTTTGATTTATGAAAATGAAAGCCAAATGTGAAAGTAAAAGTGTACACATATGAGAGTTAGCACATGATATCATCACCATTTGTTAGCATTTTTGCTAAGGAAATACTTAATTTTCTTGACTAAATTGAAGAAGAAATGTATACATGGTTACATGGTCACTGACAACAAAATGAATAAAGAGTATTTTTGCTTCTGTTCCACACCACTAACAGTGCAATATTAATGCACATATATTTGAGTGGAAATCTCACCAATTTTAAAGGAACTTACTTTCCAGTAACTTTTAACTGCATATGCATAGCTAGCACAAGCATGGCTATTTTGATGTGTGTGTCATGCATTTCATTTTATTCCAATTAAACCAATTAAATGATAATTTTCATTACTTTATTAAAAAGTGGGGATCATGCCTCTCCTGGAATGGAGGTTGCAAGGAATATGTTCAATTCTGTGCAACACACACCCAAACACCAAAGAGAAAAAGAACCCATCATATTTAAAACATGACACTGGCAAATACAAAAAACACTTGCTCAATCATAACCCATTCATACAACAGTGTTTAGAATGTGCCCTTTTTCATCAGTCAAAAGGTTTAATGGGAGGGGAGAAGAAAGGAAGGACCTTTTGCACGTCATAATAAAGCTGTGTCTGTTTCAATATCAAACATTTTTGAAGCAAAGTGTTCTTCCATTTTGTGCATTTGTTTCCAGCTGTTGTTATTCTGTTCTATTGCAGGTGCTAATCGGGCACCATTTTCATTTCATCCAACCACCATTATGTGGTTCCAGCCTATGAGGAATCTTGAAATCAATCAAATTGCCCACAAAGGCAAATAAAGACTACCTGTCCTTTCCTGTAGCACTAGTCACATCAGAAAACACATACACATGGATATGCATCAAAATGTACGTTCTGAGACATCTATGCTTGAATGAATTGGGGGGGTATCTAGATGCACATCTGCACTGTGTCTTGCTATGCCACACAGCAACAAAATAAAAGAGGTATACACTCACACTCCCCTCCCTGGACATTTTTTCAAGTATCTCTGTTCCCGAAATGGGAGCAATTTCCAGATATGTGAAAAGGTTAATGAAACTTGCCCATTCCAATCTGGTTCAGCCCAGCCTATTGTTGTTGTGGTTGCTGCCACCACCACAGAATTATCCAAGAAATAATGTTGGGGTAGGGTGATTGCTCACAAGTGGGTTGGGGCAAATTGAGCGCTCATGTGGAGAGCGGTTTTGACTCTGATGTGCTCCTGATAATGTCAATTGAAGTTTGAAGGGGAATGGGACTCAGACTGGGGAACACAGTTTGGGGAACATTAATATAGCTTGAGCCAAAATGTAAGAATTGCACAATGCGTTCTTGAAGTGAAAGGCAAATGTTCCACCTTTAGTGTCTGATGAGTAGGGTTAGGGTACTAACCAGTACAGTGAATGTGCTTTAGCATCATGATTAAATTTTCAAAATTAGTCAGACCCCATGCTTCACTTTTGTAAGAATCACTTGTTTTATACTAGCATGTTTTAGATCATGCCACCCCTAGAACATTTTAAATCAGGATCCATCAAATTCCTACCTCTACCTGTTATTTGTTGTGATAGTACCAACTTACTTTGTAGTTTTCACTTTAGGGATGTGAAATGTGGGAAACTACAAACTCTTGTAAGAGAGTACATTTCTATATTACTATATCAGAGCCAAGTACGAACAAAGAATGGTGCCCTTAATTCTAAGCCTCACTGATTAAACACTTACTTATCATTTAATCAACTATAAATTTAGTTGATTAATCTACGATTAAAATTTGCATTCAACTGAGTCTTGGGAAGCCCTGTCAGGAAGGAGCAACTAATCGTTTCCATACTTATATTATCTCTACTCAGGGAATTACAGGAAAAGTGTTTCCATTGTTCTGGAGCAGTTGCTCAAATTTGTATCATGCTATTCACATTTAATTTAACAAAGGAAATGATTTAAAAGATCTAAGAAAGCAAAGCATGAACCATAGCAACATATATTTAACTTGCTTTGAGCTGGTCTATTGCACAGCCCAGTCTCTGAGTAATTAAACATTTGGTATACCCTAGGATACTAGTTAACACCAATGTATCATCCATTGTCAACTCTTCTTTGCAAATACAAACAGTGATGCTCCCTGGAGTTTTAATGAACCTAAGTGCAAAAACCCTTCTGCTCATTGCAAAAACACACACTGAGCATGTAAACCTTAAAAAAAGAAAGAAGGGCAACGCAGATTAAGCATTATCATCTGTGCTAAGAAAAAGACAAGTATAAACAGAGCTGGAAATACAGCAGACATTCAAGGTGTGTATCTTTTATTATATTGAAATCTGATTCTGGGCAGTTTGAAAGCAGCTGGGTTGTGCTGAGATGGAAGATAACTCACTATCAAGAGGATGATAGATAAGTGATCATTTCTTTCTTGTTGTTTAGTCATTTAGTCGTGTCCGACTCTTCGTGACCCCATGGACCAGCACGCCAGGCACTTCTGTCTTCCACTGCCTCCCGCAGTTTGGTCAAACTCATGTTGGTAGCTTCGAGGACACTGTCCAACCATCTCGTCCTCTGTCGTCCCCTTCTCCATGTGCCCTCCATCTTTCCCAGCATCAGGGTCTTTTCCAGGGAGTCTTCTCTTCTCATGAGGTGACCAAAGTAATGGAGCCTCAGCTTCACAATCTGTCCTTCCAGTGACCACTCAGGGCTGATTTCCTTAAGAAGGGAGAGGGTTGATCTTCTTGCAGTCCATGGGACTCTCAAGAGTCTCCTCCAGCACCATAATTCAAAAGCATCAATTCTTCAATGATCAGCCTTCTTTATGGTCCAGCTCTCACTTCCATACATCACTACTGGGAAAACCATAGCTTTAACTATATGGACCTTTGTTGGCAAGGTGATGTCCCTGTTTTTAAGGATGCTGTCTAGGTTTATCATTCCTTTTCTCCCAAGAAGCAGGCGTTTTTTTTAATTTCGTGACTGCTTTCACCATCTACAGTGATCATGGAGCCCAAGAAAGTAAAATCTCTCATTTCCTCCATTTCTCCCCCTTCTGTTTGCCAGGAGGTGATGGGACCAGTGGCCATGTAGTAATGACACAGCAAACAAAGCAGCACCACCAGAGACAGGACTGCTGTTACACTAGTTTTAACCCATTTTAACTGTTTTTTAAAAAATTAAACTGTTTGAACTGTTTCTAATTTGTGTAGGGTTTTTTGTCGTTCATTTTTATCGAGGGAGGGGATCTATGAGGAGAGGAACTGAGGAGAGCAGGGGGAGGCATCACAGTGGCTCAGGGTAGGGGAAGTATGAGGTGGGAGGTGGGGCAGGCCAGGTTGCTGAATGCCAGGTTGGCATTGTAAGACCTCCCTCATCCATGATCTGGTTATAGATGAGGAG